TTGTCATGATTACTGTAAGATGAAGATGCATCGAACGAAAACAAGTCGTTAAGATATAATTGATCAGAGATTCCGTCGTTAATGGACGTCATCCGGTTAAACAGCGATCTATAGAGCAAGGTCGGCAAAAACCATTAAATTTTTGATTTTGAGTCAATTTTTTTTTCTTTAAAAAACATTTTCAAAAGTTTTTTTTGATAAGAAATTCGAAGTTGTTTGTGCAGATATGAATGTTGTTGCAATTCCAGTGAACAGTATCGTGTGTTGATTTTGACAATTTGAAGAAGAAAAAAAATAACAATTTGTTCCATTCTGTACTTATTATCATTTTAAAAACGGCAATATATGATATTTTTAAGACAAAGCATTTTTTTTTTTTAAGGTTAAAATATTCATTAGAGTTCTCAATAAATGTAGCTTTATGCAAGCTTATCTTTTAAAAAGATAGATGAGCTAGCGCTGTACTCATTGTAAACAATGGAGTAGTTTCTCGAACATTTGTATATTGTGCTGAATCGATGGGTCTCAGTTTACATGTAGAACGGTTAAAATCAAAATGGCTTTAAATCGACAATTTAGTATCACTATACTTTGAGCAATATCTAATTTACTGTGATTTAAGATACCGAGATATAAGATAATTTTTTTCGGTAGAACCAATAAGCAACAAGTTAAAATAATCCAATGGGTGTACTTTCTATAGTGCAATCGCATCTTCTCGATCTGAAATTTCTGAGAAGTTGTGAAAATGTTACGTTACTTCAGGTTTAAAAAAAAATTGTTCAATATGGAGACGCCACCACTGGCCGGTGGAGAGCTGCAAATTTAATTATGTCCTAAGCTCGGCACTCGGGACCACTGAGGGATCTTTTTCGTATCAGCGCCTACTGCGTTTCGGGACTCGGGTTTTTACGGTCTCATCCGAAGGACCGAACTCCACGTCCAACAATGGATTGAATAAGAGAATTATGGACGACTATTCATTTTTACTGTATCATTATACAAAAAGAACATTTTAGTATAAATGGCAATGACATGTAAATAATAATAGATAAAAAGGAAGGTCAGAGACAAAAATAACTCATGTTCCTCAAAGATCAAGAAGCATTAGAGGGAAGAGGGAATGAGATGGGATTATTAATACATGTAGTGCTGAAAAAGTATATTGTTCATTCTGCATGGTGATAGTGACATCGACGGGCAAGTAGATCTACTTAATGAGCTGTTACAGAGCACAAGACTGATATTATTTTGTCGATCCCTGATCATCCGAGCTATATTTCTCTAGCTTTTGGCCAAAATAGCTGCAATGAAATACTAGTTTATGGAGATAACGAACAGCATTCAAGCTCAAAAGTCCATAAAACAAATTAAAGCAGGGCAAACACGGATCTTCGAAACATCAGAGGTGGGATCAGGTTCCATGGAGGAGTGAACATCCCTTGTTGACCGGTCCCGGTCTGTGTTCTCCTTGTCATGATCGGAAAATAACGAAAATCCGTCGTCAATTCAATGTGTTTATAATAGACTTACATGTACAATTATTTTGAAAAACGTAAGTCAGCATTTGACTCAATGATAAATTGTATTTGCTGACAAAGTCAGTATATCAACCATAGAACTTGCGAAATGATAACTTTAAACGAGACTGTTGATATTTTTATTTCATAAACTTGTTTTAAATAATTTATTTTGTTTTAGAAATTGTACATACGTAGAGCATGTTCTTGCGTATTTAATCAACTGAGAAATATACACTCTGTATGCAGGTGACAAAGGTATACATGTACATGTATTGCTGCATAAATGAGGGAAGTTATCATAGAGCTTGGTTGTTAGATTACCATTAAGTTAAATATTAAAATACGAAACAGATGTGTCACACTCTGCAAATATCAGATAATTTTGTTTTCTTTAAAACTTGTATGCATCCTTTACATTGGTGTATTTTATACTAAGGTGACCGTTTAAGCCCTTGTGTCTCATTACATCAGTAGCACAGTTTGTCCATCCATTTAAGAAAGAAACCTGTATGAAAGCCGCCAAAAGATAGCGATAGCAGACTCCGCCCCACCATAATTTCTTACCACACCCAACTGCAACAATTAAAATGAAACGTGAAACACTTACGTATTTGGATTATTTCAAATTTGCCTTATATTTTTCGTCATTAGACAAGATTGTGCATTTCCCCTCTGTTTTCTTCATTAGGCAAATAGTGGATGATATTTGAACCACTAATGAGATTGTTAGCATAGTGATGCTTTTTTAATGATGCATCATCAAACATTAACAAAACTATTCACTAATGTTACATTTTATCGGTGCACAACTGATTTCGTTATGCGTTGAGTATATGCATGTAACACGTGGATCAAACTGCTCTATTGTTTTCTGAAACAATCATTTATAATGACAACGAAAACAAATGGGAGTAGCTACAGGCCTTTCATTATATACATCCAACATGTTACTGGCTACACTGAAACATTGTCAGTATAACTCGTCTGAGTATACTTGCCAGATGAAGAAACAGTGACATTTTGGTAAGTTATTTATATAGATTTTTTTTTATAATTATGAGGGTAAACGATACACAATATAACACGCGGATATATATTTTTTCAGCCTGCACTCACTTTAGCAGGTTCTTGTGAAGTTTTAAATCAATATCTTATGTGAATGATTAAAATGAAACGTGTGAATTTTTTTTTTTGATTTGTAATTTTTTTTTATCATTATTAAAGTTTTTTTTTTTGAAAAATAGGAATACTTCATCTATTTCTATGGTCTACAATGTGGGAGAGTCACTCCATAAACATAAAAATATCAGTGTTAGTTTAGCAGTTCGTCACGGAGCAAACACAAAAATTGTGATGTAAGTAAACTTAAATACAGTAGACGGTTGAACAAATAATATATTTAATGTTATTTGTACCAAAAATGTGAACGATTATCCTAGCTCGTGTTACAATAAAAATTGATATAAATTTGTCCGATAATTTGCTGAATTCCCTCAACCTATCATCATTAAGAAATACTTAAATTGAAAACCAGAAAGGTCATCATGAAAAAGTAATGGGTTTTCACAATAGCAAAATGTCTCTTCTTGTAAATCGACAAAAATATTCTTTAGAGATTGGCTTTTCGAACACTTTACTCACTTAGATCTGTCCCTTGATGAACACAATAATACAAAATTCTTGACTTGTACAATCATATAGTTAATGAAAAATTTGACAAAACAACAAGATGCCATGAACAACAAAACATTATTGCATTTTTGTACATACATGTATATACATATAAACATAAAGTGATAATTATACTTGCAATTAGTATCATTATTAATTTGTAGTATTAACATTTCAACAGTGAAATATCGTACTTTATTTATCGAATAAATGTGTGAAATATAAGGAAGGGGTTGTATTTGAAATACAAAGCAAAATTTGGTAATCTGAAGGTAATATTCACTGAAAAATTTATCGTCTAGTACATGTACATGTATAAGAAGAAATTTTACTCGTGCCTTGCATTTAAGAAAAAAAGTTACTCTTAAAATTTCTGATGCTCTAACAAATTTTAAGAGTTTGTTTTTCCTCTTTATTTTATGTGATTACTATTATTTTTAGATAATTCTTTCTTGGCCATAAAAATGCAAGAAAAACGATATTGGTCCTATGAACAATTTATCGAGTATTTTGTGATATAATGGTCAAATTTGACTGATAATAACTTCTTATGTTTGTAGCAAGTATTTAGAATGGTCAAAATTTGTAGGATGAAATGGATTGAGGGACATGGCAATCACTTAATACAATAGAAAGACAGATTTTGAGTGGATTTGTATAAAATAAGCATTAATGTCAAAGTGAGAAGTACGATATTCATAGATAGTCCCTGCATCAATTGTCATGGGTATTTTCTATGACGTGTCGAATGGGTTCTTAAGGCCTTAGTGTATATTCCGATATCATCAATCTATAAATTCAAGTTCTCTTGAGAAATATTCGTGGTTCTGGATAACAACTTTGTCGAATGTACAACTCAAGGTATCTGGCACAGCCACAAAAATCGGCGTTCACCGAAAACTGATAAAACTTCAGTATTTCACAAGCTCCAAAATTAAATGGAGTTATCTAAAAAAAATTAAATCTCGAACGAAACAGTCCCCTATGCAGAAAAACACATGAAAAAATTCATGAAACTTTATACATTGGTACTTTGTACCAAAGCAAAAATTATATCTTTCCACGATAAGAAATAGTTACATGTAAAGCACAACTGCATGTCGTTCTTTACGACAAAGATGTGGTTTACATTCCAAAGAAAAAAAGCACATCTCTCTGTTCTTTGATAATCAAATTACTATTAACTATTTACTGGTCCTAATGAGTTTCTCAGATTAATGGTACTTGACGGTAGGAAAACAAGAAAAGAGTATTGCTGCATTGTTCTCCAACAAAGTATCTTTTACTAATTAACAAATTTCATTTGTCTATGAGGGCATTGCCATGGACTTATTAATATGAATTTATAATAATTCAATAATTATTAACCGACAAAAGCTAAATGTTGCACTCATTAATTTAGGCGCCATTGCAGATTTGATTACCAATTTCAAGTAAGATTGATTGGCGATTTTTTTAATGGTCATTTTGCAGGCGATTTGAGTAAATAAGTTTAAGATTTCAAGCCATAAAGTTCCAAAATTTTCTTTATAATAAGCTAAAAGGTCGATGGAGAAGAAAAAGCAATGCGATAGATACATGGATGTTTTCCATATGAGATTTTGTTACACTTTTTTCACTTTTTTATGCAAACAAATTCCAGTCAATCAGAAGGCGTTAAAATCAGTGAAGTCATGTCAAATCCTATTTTACTGGTATTTTAACATTGAAATTTTTTTCATTAAAAAATTACACCGTATTTGATACATCTGTTTTAAATACAACTTTTTATTTCTTTTGCTAAAAATGTTTCAAACTCATTGATTTTTAGATAGAGACTTCTATTTGTTTTCGAATCATCCCTCATTTATCTCACCATCCAATGCAAATGGTTCTCACAACGGGCAGCGGATTATGACTTTTAACAGTGATAGAAAAACTGCCTCTATCATCAGGGGTCGTTTGGAGATGTAATGCCTCGTTTTCATGGAGGATTGAAAAAAAGATGCGACAAACAGGTTGGTTTTTTCAAACATTGTTTTATCTTTGATTTTTTATCATAAAAATATTAAAAAGCCTCAAAAAATCGTTATAATCGTTCATTTATTCAAGAGAAATTATATGACAAATTTCACTCATGATAATTTTTTTTAATGGCAATTCTTTATAGCCTTATATTGCATTCAGGCATAAAACACTCTACAGTGTAAAGCAGAATTTAACTCTGCCAATTGAACAAATGTTACATATATAATAGAAGGCTATTATAGAGCAATTTTGGTAATAATACTTACACAATCTAAAATTTCAGTTCTACTGATGGAACCACATTGAATAGCATTTCCTGAGGTGGTATGTCATCATGGCAAACAAAGCTCTACTTGTTCTGTTGTGGACATCAGCGATAGTGGATTGTTTGCTTGGAAGCTTGTATACTAGTCATACTAATATGACAAATTTGCTCATTCAGTACACGGACTACTGTGGTAGTGATTCGGTCTGCTCTACCATGAACATGCAGAGTAATTCTAACACTAATTATTCCACTGCAAATATATGCCCAAGATGTTCTTGTACGCAAGATTGTGAAATAAATGACCAATGCTGCCCAGATAAATCTCTAAGTACCTGTGTGAAAACAACATACCTTGTGAAGGGACAAAGATTCATAGGAAATGATGAATTCAAGATGATAACGTTTTGTCCGGAAGAAAATAATAGATGGCCTAAAAATAGCTGCTTTGTACCCATTGATGAGACTAATTTTGTTCAACAGATGCCCGTTTATTCAGTTATCACAAACAGGACGTATATAAATATCCAGTGTTCTAAATGTCACGGAGAAAAGGAAGTCATTCAATGGCCTTTCTCCTTTTCTTGTCCATTTCTGAAATTAAACATATATTTCTATTCTGATATTGGCAAATTATGGAATGCTATTAAAAGAAATAATTGTACAATAGAGTATTCACCTTTACCAGGCTTTCATACTATTCCCTGTAAAAAGCAGTCTCTGATTCGAGAATGTAATATCACTGGCTACTGGGACGACTATGACGCTGATATCGAAAACGCCTGTAAAAACTACGATACCCGCTACGGACTTTTTCAGAATGTTTTCTGCTTTCTCTGCAATACAGGGACTGAACAAAGACATAACAAAGATAAGTCCATCGAGAATGCACACAATCAACAAAATATTAACCAATACACAGATAGAAACACCGACGAAAGCTTTTTAGAATCAGGCAAAGCAATTAGCAAACGAAGATTTCAATTAACCAATACTGAAGTTCAAGTATCAGAAGAATATTATTTTAAGAACAAAAAATATTCTGCAGTTGTCGAATTTCTTTCATGGGATATAGTAAGCAATGTTGAACAGTTGTTGTCCACGCAGACTTCTACCAATGAAACACGAGTGTCAGAAGCGCCTGTGAACTTGTCTGCTTTGTACGAAGAATTTGTAAGATCTGGTGGGTACCACGATTGGTGCCAAGATAATCAT